GAAAGGACTAGACACGTCACACTAGTTACTAGTGTCCAATCAAAATACCCACTACAGTCCTACAGGAGGTCAATCGCAAGCCCAAATAGCTAGCTCAGTGGTAACGTCTCTGACTGTACAGGTAGCACTGGGTGACGCGGGTTCGAATCTCAGACAGGGGATATGAGTTCCTTCAAGGTTATTGCAGATAAAACGCCTTGCTGACTGATGAGTGTTAACTATCACGAAACCCAGCCAGGTCCAAGGCTTCCTGCTGATGGCTTCCAACTATCAGAATAATAGTACGGAAGAACAAAAGAGCTTTATTGGAATGAAAATCACAAGGAGTGAATACATCTGCGCCAGCCATTGACAACGGTTTTGAGCCAGCCATATCACCAGTAGTGTACATCCCGGAGAACCCAACCAGAAAGCCTACACCACTTCATGTGCCTGGCTTAAATTAACTGTTAAAGGTGTCATGGACTGCTGTCATGATTTGCTTTGACCACCACTCGCTCCCTCCTTTCCAACCTGATCCATCCTATGTCAGTGGCTAACATTGCCCGTCATCAAGTAAGGCGATGGCTAGGCATAAGTAACACATGTCGTAACCATCTCTCCGAATCGCTGTAGACTCACAAACTCGTCGATTGATTTCCCCTCTTTACCAAACACCCAACACCTAATCTCGATATTGCTCACCCCAATATACCACTTCAAACGGAAGATAAAACGCAGACACCTATGATCAAAGTCAGCTAACCAGGCTTTTCATCTCTTTCACTCTCAATGACCATGTCTGACTCACAACCATAAAGGAGGATAGGGCGAACGGCTGAGCGGTACAGAAGCCATTTGGTTGACAAACATTAGTATACCACGTCTATGTAAGATATGGAATAAGTTGGCATATGCAAAACGAGCCTTCTGTATCGGTGCTGAGATTTCGTCAGTGACAAACCCGCTGGTACTGGCTGACGCAACTTCCCAAATTAACGCTTTACTCCCTGTTCTCAAACTAGAAGCCGATGTAGTCGAATCGTGTAACATCATCTTACATTTGACGGCGGGGGGGGGAATCTCATGCCGAACATTCGAAGATTGCAGCTCAAGGCATCCAGAAGACTCTGATGCATCTTGTTAGCGTCTTCACCTAAGAGGGAGGACTATATCATCTGCATATTCTTAGTCAACGAGATTATTCCCTGATGGTAACAAGTCAATCCCTGAGTCGCTGAAGTCAGTTCGGGTTAAATCCATTAATACATCTATGGTGAAATCGAATAGAAATGGGGATAGTGGGCATCCCTCGCTGTCGGACACCACTAGTTGTCACCACTTCAGATGACAACTCTCCGTAGGCGCCCACCTGGCTGACTTCATGAGTTCGAGTAGAGTGAGTGCCTTGATCAGTGCAATGCATGTTCTTGGCATTCCCTTTACATCTAAACATCGCCATAGTACGTCTCGGTCGACAAAATCGAATACCACTTTCATATCAAGAATTATAACAATTGTTGGACGCCTGTGGTAATTGTGCCTATGTTCCACAATCTGTCGAACGGTGAAAAAATATGATTAATACACCCTCGTGCTGGCCTAAAGTCTGTCTGGTTCTTTCATGTTTGTGCCTCCAGAGCACCACTTAGTATAAGCATGATTTTTGAGCCTAGAACTTTAGTTACTATTAAATATATAATTTAATATTATAATAACCTTTTAACCGAAGACCATATGATTCGCTAAAGTTTCAACTTCACAAAATCATGCGACCTTAACAACAATAATAACAATATTGATTATTCATTTCTCGCTATCCATAAACTCTGGGCTTCTCAATGTTGCATCATCATCTAAGACATACAAAAATATGTCTTAGATCTCATAATTAATAATTCAGTGAATTCGTTGAATCACTTGTTTTGATTTTCTATAAATTAATTCAAGATTATGGAGAACCCGGAAACCCACATCAACGTCAATCAACAGCTGTTATATGCTGACGCCACATGTCGGATGATCTACAACGGAAAACTCGGCGAGGTGTTTGAGGTGAACACAAGAGTAACACAAGCTTGCCTCTTTACTCTCATCGATGACCTGACCGAAAGCTACTACCTTGACGTGGTGGTCGGGCCTGAACACCGCAATGACCCAACAAGCTATACTGGCTGAGACTTATGTCGCTTGAGGTCCTACCATGCCAGAAAGATTGTTTGGATAGCGGTTAGACAAAAAGCAGCTACCCAATCCAATACTATGATTCAAACAAAATCACAAAATATCATGCCGGATCGGTCGGGGCCCGGATTAACAACGACCGCGCTTTCCTGCTGCCGTGTCACAGGGCAGAAGTGATAAATACGCTACTGAGACACACCAAATAAAAAAGAACAAACAAAAACAGACCGCGTGTGACCGGCCTCAAGCAGTTGTCCCCTGGGCTCTGAGGTCACGCAACCAACCTCCACGGTGTGGGCACAGCCAGGAAGTACCAATCACCCTCACAATCCGAAGCGCACGCGAAATCTCTCTATCATCGATGAGATTCCTGATTGTGGTGGACTGGATTATACTGGGACACAGTGCTTCAGGAGTGAGAAGATAGGAGTACGTTATACTGATCAATAAGAACACTCTAAAAGACCTGGATTTCGCGTGAGGATGATTTATGTCAAATGTCACACAAGAAGCAGTCGGTGAGGAAAAAACTTCAAAGGTGAACATAGAGAAGACACAGGTGATGAAAATAACCAACCAACCAACAGCAACAACAACAATGACCGTCAGAAATCACTATCAGCAGGAAAAATTTGCAAGAGATCATTCTCCTCCTTACACGGATGAGGAGGCAAATACCAGCTGGAATCGGAGAGGCAAGTCAAGTTGGAAAATCTTCTGCACTCCACACCTCAGCATACAAACAACAAAATTCGGATTTTCAACACCAATGTTAAGTCAGTCAGTCAGTTCTTTTCTTCTATATGGGTCAGAGGAATTGGATACGAAATGCATTTCCCACAGGTCACAACAGACTTTTATCATAAGACGCCTTTGCTGACTCCCCGTCGAAGATGAGATAACAAGTCAGAAAGAATCAATAACAAGAAACGCTGGGAATAAACCAATAAAGAACCTATGACTGACTAACTGGCTTCAAAATAGAACTTTGCACAGATGTAAAACAGCAGTTCGAGTCGCCACACTCACTCCATAAAGCACAAAAATCAACAGAAGAGAGTATAAGGAAATGCAGATTAGAGACAGTAAACAGAGAAATGACGCAAAAACAATAGTAATATCGAAGAACCACACCAGTCACAAGGAGTGGATGCAACTACACCAGACATTGACATCGAGGATTTCGAGCCACATCATCACCAATTGTCTCATAGTCTCTATTGATTCTTACCGTCTCGAGGCAGTCTACACCACACTACTTGACTGGTTTAAACTAACTGTTATGGATTTCATTGACTGATGAAGCCATATTTTCGTTTGACCACTACGTGCTAGCTCATTTCCAACCTGATCTATTCTGTCCCAGTGGCTAACACTGCCCGTCGTCGACGAAGGTGACGACTAGGCTAAGCATGCGTAATACATGTCCTGAACACCTCAATCGATGCAATTTCACAACTTCCTCCTTATCTAACGCTCGACAGACGCTTAACCTCAATATTGCTCACCTTATTATACCACCAATTCACACGAGAGATAGAACGCAGGCACCTATGATCAAAGACAGCTAACCGACCTTTTCATATCCTCCACTTTCAATGGCAAGGTCTTACAACCATAAAGGAAGACAGCTGTGAGACCTGGCCACTGAAAGCGGAAAACAAGAACCTATCGCTTAACATACATGTGGAATAAAGTATAAGAAAGCATAGTGCACCAGACCATCACTCGATTGGAAGGTGAATAGGACACGAAGAATGTAGGACGAGGATCCAAGGGTGACATGCAGGAGATCAGAAATTATGGGCAATCATGAACTCAGATTGCGACAAACAGCGGGCAATGAGGAAACAGGCATAAAATGGACTCACACAAAAAACTTGGAGGATTTGGACTTCGCCGATGATGTATGTCTGATTTCCCACAAACACTGGAAGATATGCAAGCGAAAAGCAACAAGTTGGCAGAAGAAGCATCAAAGATAGGAGGGACTTCAGGTGAACATAGAGAAAACAGAGGTAATGAAGATTCCTGGGAAACACCAGACACAACAACAACAGACAAAAGTCAGCATAAATGGGAGGAACCTGAAAGAAACAACCTCCTCTACCTACCGACCTGGGAAGCATTGTTTCAACTACAGGCGGAACTGACGAAGATATCGAAGCGAGGATCGGAAAAGCAAGACAAGCTTTCATTTGTCTCTAGTCTGTGTGGAGATCAACAACACTCAGCATCAAAAATACGATCCGGATTTTCAACTCCAATGTGAAGTCAGTGCTACTATACGGATCAGAGACTTGCACTGCGCGTCATAAAGAGCATCTCAAACAAACTATACACCTTCATTAACAGTTGTCTTCGCTCAATACTACTCAAAATCAGATGGCCGGCCAGAAAAGATCAGCAACAGAGAGGGATCTCTGGCAATGAGCGAACCAACACAGCAGGAACCGATTGTGAAACAAATAGGTAGGAAGAAATGGAGATGGATTGGCCATACTCTGAGTAAAGAAACCATCAAGTGACATCACTAGACAAGCCATTGCTCGAGTGGAACCCGAAAGGGAAGTGGCGAGTTGGTCGTCAGTGCAAGGGTGACATGGAGGAGGAAGAGGTCATGTGAAGAGGAGATGAAAACGTGTGGGCAGACATGGAGCCAGGTGAAGACTCTAGCAGAGAACCGAACGCAATGGAGACGCACGGCTGAAGCCCTATGTTCCTCTAGGAATTAAAGGAAATAATAATAATATTTTCAAAGTTCAATACACATACATACATATTTTCAATTCAGTAACTGTTTGATACAGCAAATTAACTACTACTAACTAACTAACCTTGTAAAATGACCACAATTTCTTAGTAAATCCACCATAGCTACACCGATCATTCCATCAACATTGAGAATTAAATTTGGACGCTAAATTTTTAAAATAGAAAGCAAAAAGACAAAATACCATCCATCACCCACTAATTAAAATAACGATTATGCAATTAGCCATCTATGCAATCAGTACATAAATAGTTTAAGGAACAAAACGAAAAACTGTGTGAAGAACACTATTCATTGGGCTACCACATTTTGTTTCAAATTTGATCACGAACTATTGAAAACCCAACAGGGGGTGCTGGACAGCCTACTGTTTCGTCCTAGTTTGGAACACATCGTATGTACCATTCACCCATCATCGAGGTTCAAACCCATTCATCAACCACTGGATGGGACGCAACTAAATGCTCAGCCCATAAATTCTAAATTTTACCAAGTGGTGATTGTTTAACGCGACTGGCACCACCAGACACCCATATCATCTTGGGCACAAGTATCCTAATTTTCTTTTTCCCTCACTCACACTTCTGTTTATTATCTCTCTCTTTACTCTCTTCTCTTGCTTTGAGTGCTACATGGAAGGAGTGTGGCAACTGGAACTGCTGCACATCTGTGCAAAGTTCTACGTTGAATCTAGTCAGTCAGTTAGTCAATCAATCGGTCAGTGGTACACAACTACTCATACGACTCAACCACAATCAGTAGTATATCCATCCATCCTGTGGCGTTTAGATCACCTCACTGCTGGTGAATAGGAGTGGTGTGTTAGAATACGACTACAGGACTGGACTAGACTGACTCCTAGCTTAAAGATAGGCAAGAAGTGAAGTGGTTGGTAGAGCATGTTGACCACTTCACTTATCTGGGGAGTCGCATCAGCCAGTGTACCAACGGGGTGATCGCTGACGAAATCTCAGCACGGATACAGAAGACTCGTTTAGTATATGCCAACTTATACCATCTCATGTGTAGACGTGGTATACCGATGGTGGTCGACCGAAGAATACAGAGGGTTAGTTTCGCGTACGCCAGATTACGCCGTCTCTGGCGTATACGCGATATTCAACTATCGACCAAAGGGTGTGTGTACTGCTCAACAGTCCGCTCCGTCCTCCTTTATGGCTGTGAGACATGGCCACTAAGAGTGGAGGACATGAAAAGATTAGCTGTCTTTGATCATAGGTGCCTGTGTTAGGTGGTATAATAGGGTGAGGATCATTGAGGTTAGGCCTTGGTCGAGTGCTAGGTAAGGAGGGGAAATCTGTCGACGAGACTGTGAAATTACATCGATTGGGAGAGATAGTTAGGACATGTGTTACGTATGCCTAGTCATTGCCTTCCTCGACAATGGGCAATGTTAGCTGATATAGGGTCAGGCTGGAAAAGAGCTAGCGGCGGTCAAACCAAAACATGACACCAGTCAATGAAATCTACAACAGTTAGTCTTAGCCACGTAGGAAGGTGTAGACTTCCTGGTTGGGGTCCTCGGAACGGTAAAAACCAATGGTTGGAAACAATTGGTGACAAGGCTCAAAATCGTTGTCGATGGCTGGCGCAGATGCATCCACTCCTTGTGACTTTTGATTTCCAATGAAACTGTTTTGTTCTTCGTTATTACTATTCCTTTGTCTCACACCTCTGTTTACTGTCTATATTATGCATTTCTTCTACTTCCTTCTCTTGCTTTGTGTGGTATATGGAGTGTGGCGACTTGAACTGCCGCACATCGGTGCAAAGTTTTATGTCGAAAACAGACAACAGACAGACAGAATTTTGGATTGTGTGTGAGAATTGTGGACAGAGTTTTTGATCCCATCTTGTTAGGAACATTCTGTTTGATTCAGAGTGTTACGTTTTGTGCTTAGAAGAAACCTACACTGCCTGTATAGCTAGATACCTAACGGCACTGCTGATAACCAGGCGTAAATTCCAATTATTTAGTGATTATGTGTCTCTCTCACAGAAGTTTCGGACAGGTATACACAGTAGGAAGCAGAAATCGACTCCTTGCGTTCAGACTAAGACAATTCGGATTTGGTAGTTGCAAATGCGGCCAACAGTCAAAATCAATGGCGAACATACTGAGGTTATGTTTCCTTTCTGAAATTAACATAAAATGATGAATGCCTTGTTTGGACACTAGCTATTGACTAGTGTAATGTGTCTAGTGCTTTGTTTGCTTGATACAAATTAAATTCTACCAGTCATGTTTGCAATCTGGCCGCCAGTAAGCTAGGTGACTCGACATCACACTGCACAGCACTGTGAATTGTTGATATTACATAACGGTTGGAGGCAATAGGGAGGAGGCCCTACCTGACCTAGGTTTCATTTGAGTTAGCACTCACCAATCAGCAAGGAGTTTATCTGCAGACTTGAAGAAATTCATGTCTCCTGTCTGAGATTCAAACCAGCGTCAGAGACGGTACAGTCCTACAGAGGAGGTCAATCACGTATCCTAAGAGCTCAGTGGTAACATCTATGATTGCAGGTAGCACTGGATGACGTGGGGTTCGAATCTCAGACAGGAAACATGAGTTTCTTCAAGGCTGAAGATAAACTCCTTGATGATTGGTGAGGGCTAACTCATATGAAACCTAGGTCAGGTAGGGCCTCCTCCTGATTGCCTTCAACCATTTAATATCAAAGTGATGAATGTTTAAATGATCTCGACAAATATTCACTGCTTGCTGTTTGATTTCTGGATAGCGTCCCTCATTCATCCGCTACCTACTTTCTTTATATACTGTTGTTGCACTATTGCTGTGTGTGTGAGGGGAGGGCGCATCACTCTGGTGTCCATATTCTACCAGTTCCATCAAGCAGCTAGCTAGAAATCGGGTGTGGTTTGAACTATTGATTCCACTATCTCTGAGCTGAGTCCAACCAGCTACGCCGATGATGAGGAACTCGACCCCCAAAACCAGCGAGACATCCATCCCGTGGTGTTTAGATCATCTCAATCTGGCTGGCTAGCAAACACTGCTGCTAGTGAATATGAGTGGTGCGGTATAAGACAACTACAGGACTGGACGACATTGACCCCTAGATTAAAGACAGGCAGGAGTGAATTGGTTGATCGAGTATGTAGATCACTTCACTTATCTGGGAAGTTGCATCAGCCAGTGCCAACAGGGTGATCGCTGACGAAATCTCAGCATGGATACAGAAAGGTCACTTGGCATATTTCAATTTACGCCATCTCTGTACCGTAGACGCGATACTCAGCTGGATGTCGAACGAAAGGTGTGTGTGTGTGACACTCAGCAGTTCCTTACGTCCTCCTTTACGGCCATTGAAAGTGGGAGATACGCAAAACAAAACTAGCCGTCTTTGATCATAGATGCTTGCGTTCTATCTCCCATGTGTGCTAGGCAGTATTACTAGATTGAGTAATATTGAGATTAGGCATCGGTCGACTGCTAGGTAGGTACGTGGGAGGGGGGAAATCAATCGACAACGTTGTGAAGCAGTTTTATCGATTAAGATGTTTACGACATATATGTTACGCATGCATAGCCGTTCATTGCAGTCCTCCACGATGGACAATGTTAGCTCAGGTTGGAAAAGAGAAAGCTAGTGGTGGTCAAACGACAGCATAGAATCAGTCAATGAGATCCACAACAGTTAGATGAAGTCAGCCACGCAGGGAGGTGCAGACTGCTAGTCTAGTTGGGATCCTCGTGGTGGTAAGAACCAATGAAGGCTGGAAACCTACCATTGGTAATGATATGGCTCAAAATCATTCTCAATGGCTGGCGCATATGCAGTCACTCTTTGTGATTTATTACATCCAATAAAATTCTATTCTTCTTCTTCAATGTTACTATTCTTTTTCCCTCACTCACCCACACTTCTATTTATTATCTCTCTCTTTACTCTCTTCTCTTGCTTTGAGTGCTACATGGAAGGAGTGTGGCAACTGGAACTGCTGCACATCTGTGCCAAAGGTCTACGTTGAAGCTAGTCAGTCAGTTAGTCAAACAATCGGCCAGTGGTACACAACTACTCATACGACTCAACCACAATCAGTAGTATATCAATCCATCGTATGGTGTTTAGATCACCTCACTGCTGGTGAATATGAGTGGTGTGGTATAATACAACTACAGGACTGGACTAAATTGACTCCTAGCTTAAAGATGGACAGGAAGTGAAGTGGTTGGTTGAGCATGTTGACCACTTCACTTATCTGGGGAGTGGCATCAGCCAGTGTACCAACGAGGTGATCACTGATGAAATCTCAGCACAGATACGGACGGCTCGTTTCGCATATACAAACTTATTCCATCTTATGTGTAGACATGGTATACCGATGATGGTGGTCGACCGAAGAACGTGTGTATTGCTCAACAGTCCGCTCATTTTCCCTGTAAGCGCAATATCGCTTGAAATGAAGTCACGCGTAGATAAAGGCTATCCCGGTCCAGAACAAACAAGAAGCCGGTCACTGTTTCTACGGTACAATTAATAAACAAATCAATAATTATATATACAACAAACCTTAACGGTTTCAAGAGTACAAAGCACAATGCTTAACAGAAAGCAAGGTACCGGTATCAGAGCGGAATAACGTTAAAGCCAAAATTGCGAACTAGCTGGATCAGACACGACCGTTCAGGTAAGCAGTCAGTAGGAGAATAAACCCAAGTAAGAGATAGACAGAGCATAGGCACAAAGATAGATTTTAAATGGCTACTTAACCAGGTAGGCTGATACAGATGAAGATCAATAAATAAGATAAACTCGACAGAATAGTACAAAGTAAGACATGGGTCAGCAAAATAACAGTTCACAAAAATACTCTGATTGGGTCATGAGTTCAACTGTCTGACTAAAGGGATGGATGTAAAAACACACACAGTTCATTAAACGAGAGGGGATAGACACGTTAGGCATGGGATAATGGGGTTGCAGCAACACTAGGCTGATCCGGGACAGGTTGACTTGATTCAAGGATGGGAATTGAATTGATCTTACACTCCCTTTATGGCTGTGAGTCAGACATGGTCATTGAAAGTGGAAGACATGAAAAGGTCGGTAAGCTGTCTCTGATGATAGGTGCCTGCATTCTATCTCCTGTTTGTTAAGTGGCGGTATAATAAGGTCAGCAATACTGAGGTTAGGCTTCTGTCGAGAGGGGAAATCAACCAACGAGGTTGTAAAGGTACACCGATTGACAGAGATGGTTAGGACATGTGTTACGCATGTCTAACCATTGCCTTTCTCGACAACGGGCAATGTTAGCCACTGATGTAGGATGAATTAGCTCGGAAAAGAGAAAGCTAGTGGTGGTCAAACCAAAACATCGTTTCATCAGTCAATCAAATCCATAGCACCAAGTTTCAACCAGTGTGTTTGGAGCCCTCGGGATGGTAAAACCCAATGAAGTCTGGAGACAATTGGCGATGATATGGCTCAAAATCGTTCACAATAGCTGGCACAAAATGCATTCACAAAACAAAAACAAATACGCAACAACACATACCTTAGAGGTGGTCACCTTTTCTACTTCAAATGCATAATCAATAATCGGTGTAGCTGGAAAATATTGATGCACATAATTTGATAACAGTTGGACACGTTTATCTGGATTTGTGATCGATTTTATCCGATGACCGATGCCCATAATTAAACGTGATGCTTGACGTTCTTGATTAACAAATTGAACAGGTGATAGGCCCGTGTCATAAGCAGTTGAAAATTGACGTGCCGCCGCGTCTAATGCACCACCAAATCTATCACCCTAAATTAGGGAAAAAATAATTTTTTTCTAAATAGTGATTATATAATGATAATATTTTTTATTTTAATTTTATTTTTTTATTTTTGGTTACAGCTTGATGCCACACCGTATTTTCAGTACAAGTATGGAATTTTCAGCATGGATATCGGTAGCTCAAATTTTGCAGGCCAACCATAGATATCGGGTGTGCGTCGGCAGGGGATCGAACCCCGGACCATGTGCATGGTCAGCGAGAGTCCTAACCACTGTGCTACCGACGCACAGCTTTATTCTATTGATATAAGAATAGAACTTGTGCACTGTGGGTATAATTCATTTTGATAAAGTCTCACAGTGTTGTTATACAGTAATATTTACTAATGATCACGTTTTGAGCACAAATCATTGCTACTCATAATCATATCAAGGTACTCACGAAACAATCGCCTTCAAATGTAAACCTAACATTGTTAGTATATTATTATTATTATTATTGTATCTTTTAATTCCTAGAGGAACATAGGGCTTCAGCCGTGCGTCTCCATTGAGTTCGGTTCTCTGCTAGGGTCTTCACCTGGCTCCAAGTCTGCCCACACGTTTTCATCTCCTCTTCACATGGCCTCCTCCAAGTCGCCCTTGCACTGATGACCAACTCGCCGCTTCCCTTTCAGGAATATATATATATAATCTTGCTTTGATATCCTCGTCAGTTCCACCTGCAGTTGAAACAATGCTTCCCAGGTAGGTAAAAGAGGTTATTTCTTTCAGGTTCCTTCCATTTATGCTGATTGTTGTCTGTTGTTGTTGCTGTTGGTGGTGTTGCCCAGGAATCTTCATCGCCTCTGTTTTCTCAGTGTTCACCTGAAGTCCTATCTTCTCTGGGTGCTTATTCTATCGCCAACTTGTTGCTTTTCACTTGCATATCTTCCAGTTTGTGGGAAATCAGACATATATCATCGGCGAAGTCCAGATCCTCCAAGTTTTTTGTGTGAGTCCATTTTATGCCTGTTTCCTCATTCCGCGCTGTTTGTCACATTATCCAGTCTACTGCAATCAGGAAAATCATTGGTGATAGTAGGCAGCCAACTTTGTCTTACTCCTGTCCCCACTTCGAAGGATTCCGTAAGTTTCCCATTGTGGATTACTTGGCATGGAGCACTGTCGTACAACTGTTGGATGAGATGTATAATTGTCGGTGGCACCCCGTAGTAGCGAAGTAGTTTCCAAATCACCTCTCGATCGGCGCTGCACTATCGAAGGCCTTTTCAAATTCGATCAAGTTGAGATAGAGAGGTGACTGCCATTCCAAGCTTGTTCAATGGTGATCCGTAATGTGGCGATCTGATCAATGCTTGACTTGTTTCTCCTGAATCCAGCCTGTTCCGGTCGAAGTTTTTCATCCAGGGCATGTTTTGTTTTGTTAGTACATAGAAGTAATAAATCCCTTAAATAAGATATAGGGAAAGGGATGGAAAAATTGTGTGTGTGGAAATGTAATCACAACAACAAAATGTCAACTGTTTTGAGCAAAGGCACATTAGTAGTAAATAACGAGTTTACATCAAAAGAGTACATATTCTTATTCATCATAATATTAATATGACTATCGTTCGGTAGAAAAGAGCCTTAGTGAGCAAGGTGCCTCTTCAGTAGAATCCAACGAATATGCACTGAAGACAGACACGCTTGATGAAGAAGAAAGAAAGTTGACACAAACTCTGGTTGATAACAATTATCCAGACAAGTTCATCAGGAGATATAAAGTAGTCAGAACACCAAGACCCACTTTACAAATCACTCCTAAGAAAGACGTGTGCATCGAACTACCCTATATGGGGCATCAAAGCAGCTTGATAACTAGACAAAGACTGAACGCTGCTGTCAAAAAGACTTTTTATGCTGCCAATATCATAATAATAGAGAATGTAAAGCCAATATATCTATCTAAGCCCTTCGAACATGCGAAAAATAATGTCACATCCCACTGTATTTACCGATTTTAATGTACGTGTGGACACACATACATGGGAAGGGGGACTCATCGATCTCTGCAAGTAAGGGCTGGCTTCAGAGCATATTCCTAAATGGCTCCAGAAACAAATGGAATCTTCAGAACACATTAATGGTGAGAACAGGACACCTAGCTCTACTATTGAGAAACATATTATAGAGACAGGACATAAAATTGACGTTAACAGATCTTTTAAACCTATCTATAGAACGTGTTTGGGGAGTATCCTAAAGTTTGTGGAAGTCCTAGCTGACAATTGGGAAGTTTACGTCATCTTTATGCGTTCAAAAACAATTCGTCATCACACCAAACCTTCCTTAGTAAATTTTGTTTCGATACCAACCAGAGTGGCATGTACTATTGTGGTGAGAGCTGGCTGCTAGCCAAGTTGGTAGACAGTAATTGACGTCAATGTTTATGTCCACAATATTGGTGGTGAGAAAATGAGAACAAAGGCTTTGCGTAGGCGGATACAGTTAGCATATGGATGATCTGACACAGCCAAAAGAGATGCAAGGTTAACTTTCTGTGAGAAACAACCAAACAAAAGACTGTATTTTCTACTAACAATAATCTACAATAATGTACATTGAAATCTATAAATACATGTTGATTTTCCTTAATAATCGATCTGTTGCATGGCCCTTGTCTTCTGTTGTTACACTATTACCTCTGCTATTTGGTTTGGTGATCTTCACTGTTATTCTGACCTTGAATATGTCCTTTAAACTTGACCTAAGTATATTTCCTCACCTCTTACCTCTTTATTAATTTCATATATATTCCTATGACAAGTTCGTGTGTGATCAGATTGTTCGAAATGCGTTGCGCAAATACATTACACGATTCAGACAAATTACGTCTTCTTATTGCTTTATCTATTATTTTCCATCTCTTGACTTGATTGGTTGTAGTATTTTTCATATTTCCGGTATGAGTGATGAGTCACTTGGGTGTAGACTCGATGAACAAGGATTCAGTAATCAACCTCTGACGGTCTCCACCTACCTATATTAATTCTTAGAATTTTAACCCTCTCCCGCTACCCTATTGTGTGGTTGTGTATTAATGCATGCAGAGAGGTCGAGTCAACGGGAAGGTAACAACCAATGAAGGCTGGAAACAATTGGTGGATGATATGGCTAAAAATCCTCGTTCTCAATGACTGTCGCAGATGCATCCACTCCTTGTGACTTATAATACCCAATAAAACTGTATTATTCTTCGTTATTGCTATTCCTTTTTTCTCACATCCCTGTTTTCTGTCTCTATTTTGCATTCCTTTTCACTTTCTTCTCTTGCTCTATGTACTACATGAAGTGTGGCACAACTTGAACTGTTGCACATCCGTACAAAGTTCTATGTTGAAATCAGACAGGCAGACAGTGCAATCACGGAGCTTTTTTCTAAATTACTTATCTCCTCTGGGTCAACTATTCTTACCTTAGCAAAATTCTTATGCTCTGACAATGTGACTACACCCCTCCCGATCTACTAGTTTGACCCATGTAGAGCTGACCTCACAGTCATTGCAGGGTATTTTGTAAATTATATTGTTTTGTCTAATTCGGTCGACCTACAGGGTCCTTTAACCTACAGAGCTTATCCTATCTGAGTGAGTTTGTAGGTGTAAATGCCATCCTAATTCCTGCTTTATTTAGAATCCTGAGTAGGGTTTCAGATGTTCCCTCCTTATGAGGTACAAACATGAGATGACTTATATTCTCTCTTATTTATGTTATCATTATCACTTTGTCGACACAGGCTTCATCGCCGAACATTTCCATAGTAACTGTCCGTCAGCACAGCCAAATACCCCACCTTCACGTCAAGAAATATGTCAGTTATTCATTCAAGTATTGATTTATAGGGATTTGATTGATTGGTTGGAGGATTTCATCATGAGCTGACATAAATTGGAGAACCATTGAAACAAAAAACCTGGGAGTACTGGACAGCCAGTTGTTTCGTTAGACTAGTTTTGGGCAACCACCACCACCACAGGGGATTCGAACCCAGGACCTTCTGGTTACAAGGCTAGCGAGCTTGTAGACCATTCATCCGCCACTGAGACCCGATCCAATAGCCAGTCCATGAATTTCAAATTCTGCCAATTTGCGACATAGCGCGACCACTAGCCAATGTCCTCACTAGAACCCCAGGTAACTACCTACCTGAATAGGGTCAGTTGTCGATCGTGAGCATCTCATTGATATTCAAGTATTGGTTTGTAGGTATTTGATTGATTGACCAGTGGTCCCGTCATATCGTGAATTGGCAGAAGTAGGGATTCATAAGCTTGCCTTGTAACCAGGTGATCCGTTCGAACCTCGGTGGGTGCGTACTGATGGATAGTCCCGAACTAGGACGAGACGGCTGGCTGTCCACAGTACTTCCTGCATGCTTTCCACTGGTTCTCTAACTGATGTCAACTCATGATGAATATGTCAGTTGTTAGACACTGGTAAAATGCACTAAATCCATTGATATCAGGGAAAAAGGACTAACACACAGGCATGCACACACGCACGCACATATATATATACAACTTACAATGGTTAATAAACCTGTGACAAGACTTGAGATTAAATCTTTACCAGCTCGTGTTGTCACTATTGTATTATGCGCACCAGAAACAGCTGGACCATGATCAGCTGTGATAATCAAACAAAGTTCAAGAAATTTCCTTGCATATTCAGGTAATCTATTAATAATGGTGTGTACAATGGAAGAAAAGAAAATACATACAGGGTAATACAGAACAATCATGAAATTAATTTGAAAAAAAACACGTTTAACTAAACTTCTAAACACAGTAAGTGAAGTGTGTCAACTCTATGAGTGGTGTTCAGAGCACTTCTCACAAGGAATATCATCATCGGTGATAGTAGGCCGAAACAGCCCTGTGTTACCCCCCGGCATTCAATTCAAACGCCTCGCTGAATTTTCCATTCTACACCACCCGATATGTTTTTTTTTTGCTTCACGTTCCCCAGTGGAACATAGGGCCTTAAGCTAGTGGCTTGAAGTTTCTGTAGCAGTGTTTAATTTTACAGGATGGGATTGCTAGCCACATGCCCAACCTTTCCCCTTCACCAGCATTATTTCTGGCTTAGCGAGGTAAAGGAGGAGTGTGTTCGTGGCCGGGAATCGAACTCCGGACCATGTGCATGGTCGGCGAGCGTCCTAACCGCTATGCCACCAACGCATTCGCCCGATATGTGAGGTCATCATATTGCTGTGGACTGAGACTGTGATAAGTAAGGACTTGAAGCACTTCATAATCTTCAGCCAGTTTCTACAAAACGAAAGTGATTCAGCGAGGAAGGGGCTCTTTCCAAAAACGAACTTGTTATCAAACTGTACAACTATCAACGTCACCGAATTTATTATTAGCTCGCTAGTTTTCTAGCCGGTTCCAAGCCCAGGATGAAGAGGGAGGGTTGGGTGTGTGTGGCTAGCGACTCTACATCACAGAACCAATCAAACTGCAACAGAAACTTCAACGCACAATAAAAATATTGAAGTATTACAAAAAATATAAAAACAAACTTTATTCTTCCCTGGAATCCGAGAGGCGAAAGCCTTTGGGGAAGCCAGTCAACCAATGTGTCTTCTATCGATAAAAGCAAGAATGTGGACGTGGAATGTCCGTACAATGTACGAGGCTAGGCTGGGAAGGCTGTCCAGATAGCCAAAGAGATGCGAAGATATGGCTTAGAAGTACTGGATATCCGCAAAAGCAGATGGAATGGAGGTGGATTGACAACATTGTCAACTGAAGAGTCAGAAATCCACTCAGGTCTGGTCATCTAGACAACAACCACAAGCCTACTGAGACAGTCAGTGGCTATCATGATGTCACCAGTGGCAGCCAAATGTATAATGCAGTGGGAACAAATTTCATCCAGGATCATGACAGTAAGATTGTACTCAAACTAAAGGAAGGTTGCAATTATCCAATGCTACGCACAGTACTACAAACAACTCAGAACAAACGAAGAACGGAGATTTCTATAGACAACTGCAAACAGTAATGGACAACATCCTAAATAGTGACTTTAAAATCATTATGGGCGATATGAATGCCAGGTGAACTGGGAGGAGACAACACTGAAAGAGAACTCATTATGAGGCTCTCGCTTGGCGAAATGAATGAATAACAATGGAGAAAACTGTTCGCAGACTTCTGCTCCTTCAATGAATTGGTGATTGAAGGTAGCGTATACAAGACAGAAACAAACAGTCAAAACTCACCAACCTCTTTGACATACACCCTCCCGCCGCAGATGAACTTTCAAGAGTTAGCTTGTAGGGATTTTCTGCATGTGAGGAATAGACCTGATAAATATCCTACTCATTCACGACATAGCCCGACCACTCAGCATTGTTTTCTTCGATGAGTAACTGTTCTCACCTTCGACCTACTGTACCCTACTGGCCATGGGCTAAGTGGTCGCGCTATGTCGTGCATTGGCAGAAGTTAGAATTTATGCTCTGGCCATTGGATCGAGCCCCAGTGGCTTAATGGTTTACGAGCTCGCTAGCCTCATAAACACTGACGAAGAGTTCAAGACTGGGACGAAACGGCTCCCCAGTACTATCTCTCCTGGTTCGCCAATGGTTCTCTAACCGATGTCAGTTCATGATGAAATTCTCCTACCAATCAAACGAAATCTCTACAAACCAATAACTGAAAATATCCTACCCTTTGCTTAAACTTCATGGAGGTATGTAGGCAATAAAACTACTAGAAGACATAAGCTACCTTTCAAATTCTGTAGTAATGTAACTCTGAATACTATTACCATCAACACCATCAACTGCTCCACAACTTCATTGAAAAGTAACACTACCAACTAAAACAGAACGAAATCCCCTAGACTTTTGCGGTCAGAAATCGTGACCAGTGAGGTTCACTTTTCCAGCACAATGGCTGACTTGAATATACAGAAATTAGAATTCATGGAGTGCTCATTGGAATTCCGTCCCAGTAACTCTCAATGGTCAACAAGACCACTTCATAACCTGTACGTTCTGATGGAGGAGTCATGACTGCATAGTGCTGAAGTCTCCCAAACTGGGTCGAAACGGCTTTCCAGTATTCCCTGCTAGTTTTCAATTATTCTCTAACTGATATCAATCCGTGGTGGTCAAACTTCAAGTCAATCAAATCCTTAAAGACTAGCACTTGGAAAGCGGAAAGTTCCATAAATTTACAGGATTTCATCATGAGCTGAAATCGGTCAGAGAACCATTGGAAAACCTGGGAGTACTGGACAGCTGTTTCGTACTAGTTTGGGACTCTTCAGTAGTACGGACACAACGGGATTCGAACCCAGGACCTTCTGCTTACAAGGTGAGCTGGCTCATAGACCATTGAGCCACTGGGACCCGATCCAATGACCAGCCCATGAATTCTAACTTCTGCCAATTCACAACATAGCGCAACCGTTAGGCAATGTCTTCCGTGGCGAGTATTTGTCCTCACACCCTACCGGCTGCACTCTACTGGTCACGACTTCTCACTAGAACACCAGGTAACTACCTACCTGAATAAGGCAAGTTGCTGCACCAGTAGCGTGCAGCAGGTCGGGTTTGAGAACAATTACTCACCGAAGACATTAGGTAGTGGTCACGCTATATCGTGAAATGGCAGAAGTTAGAATTCATGGGCCATTGGATAGGGTCCCAGTGGCTTAATGGTTTACGAGCTCGCCTTGTAACCAGAAGGTCGTGGGTGCGTACTGCCGAAGAGTCCCAAACTAGGACAAACTTTTACTTTACTTCGGCTATCTCCTACGGAAGGATGAGTCGGATTCATGAACATCTCGAATCATCGCTGCCCAGGCGCGGCGATCTGTTGCAAGGTTTTGCGACAGGGTTATTTGTAAGAGAGTTCATGAAGTTTCATGGGAATTTGGTACGAGTGATGTCCCCAGAATCGCCCGGCCTTTTGTTTGAGAGTGCAGCTCTAGCCTTTACACAACCAAGTGTGACCTACAAGGCAGTAGGAGTGGAGTAGGGAGTCCACTATCCATTGGCAGCCGGTGACCGGAGCTCGGTTCATACGCCTTTTTGAATGGGGCCAGACATCCAACAAGCCCTTTGTCCATACGTCTGCCGGTGAGCTCCAGTGAGCTTCATACGCCAGTCGTTGGAGGTTTGGAATCAGGGTTTAGCCATCTCCCCTAGACTGTCATCCAATGGACAGTCAACCCGGTGAAGAGCGCCGGGCATCCACTTTCGCCCTCTCACTTTGGTGAAAAACACCTCCGCCACGTGAAGGCAGTGAGTAGGACTTCCTCAGGAGAGGCTATGTAAGACGCCCGGTGATATGGGAGCATTTCAAGAGGTGTGCGGAGGAGTGGCCAACCCGCAGCGCAAGGCACCCACTCCCGACCATCCTGAGGCTTTGGAGGACAAAACAGTCATCTGGTACTCCCAGGTTTTCCAATGGTTCTCTAACCGAAGTCAGCTCATAATGAAATCCTGCAACCAATCAAATCCCTACAAACCAACACTTGAATTTCCATAAATTTATTTGCCAAGAAAATAAATCGCGAGTTGGTGATATCAGTTACAGAACCAATAAAAAAACTAGCAAGGAGTGCTGGACAGCTGATCCCCGTCCAAGCTTGGAACTCATCGGCAATACGCACCTACCAGGGTGCTAACCAAGGACCTTCCGGTTACTGCTGAATAGTTACGAACCAGGATGAAACAGCCAGCTGTCTAATTCTTCCTGGTTCTCTAACTGATGTCAACTCGTGAAGAAAAAACGTGTGAGCAATCAAACCCCAGCAAAGCAATACTTGATAATTGATCCCATGTAAAGCAGCGAGTGGCTCTATACAGGAAACTACCAGGGGTTTTTGTAAGAGGTCGTAACCAGCGTGGTCAATACCAAGTCAGGTAAGAGAACATTTACCCGCTAATGACACTGGTTGGCGGTTATACTGGGCATATATCGCGAATTGACAAAAGTCGGAATTCACGCACTATTGGGTCCGATCCCAGTGGCTGAATGGAGAATCCTAGGTTCAGTTACCATTGAAACCTTGCTGATGAAGAGTCCAAAACTAGGACGAAACGCCTGTTCGGTACACCTTGGTTTAGTTTCCAATGGTTCTCTAACCGATATCAGCTTGTGAAAAATCCTGTAACCAACCAAATCACTGCAAACCAATACTTGAAAATTTATTCATATATAGAAGAGTAATGGGGAATAAATCGGGAGTGGGGAGGGGGAAGGCAGAGTGAAAAAATGTCGCATGAATAACCAACCTTCGTTTAAACCACAGCAGGCTAAGAACTCCACCAATGCCCAATTCTTCTTCAATCACTTGACTAATAGGCAATCCAGCATATAGCAATTCTTCACCACGATCATCGCATATCGTCGAGGTAAATGCAACTGGCCGACGAATCAGACCTAATTCCTGCAATACAAAAAAGCAAAAAAAAGACAAAAGAATAACTCAAAAGTGTCAACTAAAAAACCAAACTCTCAAATGAATGTACTATTTGATAATGAGTAATAAGTAATAATAGTGATAATAATATTGAAGGTAATAATGCTTTCTAACCACAAACGCATTCATCCATTAGGGTGTAACGCGTTTTCTCTGTTGTGCAACAACCAGTGAGACGAAATGCTCACAAGGAAATGAGAACAACTTGCATTTCCACTCAGTTGTTCACAGGCAGCTACACATATCGTGTGACGACGAGTGCCGAGTTTCAGTCTCTATAGAAACACCATTCATTCACTCGTTCACTCAATGGGGGATGCAACTACATCCAGATGAAGAAGTCCCAAAAAGGACGAAATGACAATCGACTGGATTCCAAATAGCTACTTACACCATCAACCATAATAACTTGAAATCACTTATTTTCAAATGAAGCATCGAACCAACACAACCCCCATCTCCCCACTCTCACCTACACTTACACAGACACTACCAAGTGTTAGAGAACCACTAGAAATCAAACCAGCAAGTACTGGAAAGCCAGCTGTTTCATCCCAGTTTGAGACATCAGAAAATTTCCTCATATTTTTTTTACTTATTATGAAAACATCAATTTGTCACAACTGTTGAAAAGAAATTCAACAATGATGTATCTTAAAAATAGCTAACGATATAATTGACGGATTAATTAAAATTTCAAAAGACTGACAGCTGAAAACGACATGTTACTAAGTTATTTAAAAGATAGAAGGGGATTATAAGTGAGAGGAACTAGTTTATTTGGACATGTTTATGCCCATATGTGCAAAAGTTTGAATTTGAATACATTATAGAATCATATTTTGTGCATTTTTAATATTTTTATTGTGCGTTAATGAAGTTTCTGTGATAGTTTGATTGATTTTATGGGGTAGGGTCACTAACCCCCCACACCCAACCTTCCCTCTTTTTACACAGGCTTGCGACTGGTTAGAAAACTAGCGACCTAGTAAACTAGGCTGTCTTCGCTCCATGCTGGGGATCAAATGGCCGGCCAACTGTTCAACAAATATTATTATTTATTTATTATTGTTCCCTTGGGTTCCTAGTGGAATATAGGGCTTCAACTGCACGTCTTCACTTGATTCTGTCTTCTGCTGTACTTTTCACCTACATCCATGTTAATCTATACTGTTTCAACTCCTCTTCACACGATCTCCTCCATGTCACCCTTGGATGTCCCACTCACCGCCTCCCTTTCGGGTTCCACTCGAACAATGGCCTGACGCGCGATGTCACCCAGCGGCCTCCTCAGCCAGTGTCCAATCCATCTCCACTTTCTCCTGCATATTTGTTGAGCGATTGGTTCTTGTTTTGTTTCTTCCCATAGTTTCTTGTTAGTGATTCTTTCCGGCGGCCATCTGATCTTCATTAGTATAGAGCGAAGACAGCTGTTGATAAAGGTCTGCAACAGGCTGTTGGAAATATTCTTTGTGACCCACTAAGTTTCTGATCCGTATAGAAGAACTGACTGACTTGACGTTTGTATTGAAAATCCGAATTTTGTTGTTGATGCAGGCTGAGTGACGAATATTTCCAGATTGGTTTCAGGTTGATGAATGTGTTTCTCGCCTTCCCGATTCTCGATTTGACATCCTCGTCCGTTCCTCCTGTAGTTGAGACAATGCTCCCTAGATAAGTGAATGAAGTAACCTCTTTCAAATCCCTCCTATTAATGGTGATTGGCGCTGGATGTTGCTGTTGTTGTTGGTGGTGGTTGGTTATTTTCATAACCTCCGTCTTGTCTATGTTCACCTGGAGTCCTCTCTTCACTGCCACCCTCTTCATTCAATTTGTCGGTTTTCGCTTGTAAGTCTTCGATTTGGTGTGACATCAAACATAAGTCCAGGATATCCCTGTCTCCTCGTTTCCCACTGTCTGACGCATAATCCAGTCCACCACAATTAGGAATATCATTGGTGATAATAAGCACCCTTGTCTAACTCATGTGTTTACTCCAAACGGCTCGCTGAGTTTTCCGTTGTGGATCACTTGACATGTTCCGTTGTCGTCCAGTGGTTGAATAAGGTTGATATGTAGGAGAAAATAGAGATGGAATGGGTATACGTTGAGAAGGCTATCGAATGACACCGTGCTATTGTCAGGCTATCACTAGAATAGAATCCAAATGGGAAACGATGAGTGGGTCATCGATGTGAGGGTGACATGGAGGAGGAGATCTTGTGGCGAGGAAGAGGAGGAGGAGGAGGAAGCGATGAGAGATTATGGTCAATCATGGACCCAGATGAAGAGAACAGGACTAAATAGAACAAAGTTCAGATGCCTTTTTGAAGCCCTACGTTCCCACACGGTAAAGGAGTTCTGTTACGTCATACTAATACACTGAAAGAGAATTAGATTTTTAGATAAACGAAATTAACTTAATTTGTGGATAGCGACTAGCAGTGGAATCCAGGATGAGCATTTCGTCTTATTTGGGACTCGTCACTGGATGTACCCAGTGCCCTTAGTTTCAAACGCCAAAGCGTTATCCACTAGACCACTTGGGCCACGAGAGCCACCTCTTGTGCAATGGGTCATATTAATTTAATTGAATTTGAGATTTCCCGTCAATTGATTGGACCGAAGTAGTGCTCGGTCTCAGGTTGACATGTCGTTTGAAACTAAGGGTACTGGGTTCGAGCCTCGGTGGGAACATCATCACTGACTCACTGTGGAATGCAGGTACATCCGGCAGGAGGACGAGTCCCAAATAGGACGAAATGTGCGTTATCCTGGATTCCACTGCTAGTCACCATCCACCAATGAAATACTAATTAAGTGCCCAGACATCGTCGAAGCATCTGTACAAGAAGCCGACATGTCAACCTGAGACCGAGCACTTCGGTCCAATCAATCAATCGACGGGAAAATCTCAAATTCAATTAAACGAAATTAATTGCCAAAAAATGACACATCAAGTGGGAAAATAGTATATATATATATATAATCTCTAGCCTACTCTTTTCATAACTTCGACAAATTGAGTAGGCAGAATAAGGAAGGAAAATAAGGAAGAGAAGAAGGAAAAATGGGTGTGTAGAGGAACTAAGCAACAGGGCAGAGGAAAAGATACACTTGCACACATACACACGCCTATTTGAAGATTGTCATAGATCACAAGAAAAAAAGAAATTAAGAGAAATAGAGTAGTCGACGCAAGTGAGTGTATAAAAAGGCTGAATCGATCGAGAAATATATAACTCAGTAGAGGGGTTTGTAATTGGTTTAGATCAAAAACAACGGACTATAAACAGACAAATAAACAAACAAACAAAAAGGAGGTAAATATGTAAACAGAAACTTGATACACTTGTGACTTAAAGCATACAGAGCGATGAGAGAGAAATAGAGATAGAGAGATTAAACGAGAAACACCCGCATCATAATTGCGATAAATAGACAGAGGTTACTTAAGAAATATAGTGGTATTATTGCTTACGAACATCCCATCAACTGAAACAATATGCTATATAACACAAAATAATCGAGCAAAGAATACCCTTTTCGATAAATTCCTCTTCCGGCTCTACAATTATATATGCATGTTTATATACATAGAATATTCTAGATTAGTAGTCAATAACAATATTAGCGTTGTTTTAAATACTGTCGATTTGTTAAGTAAGATCACGATGGAATTGCAGTTCATTAAAGATACACAAATAATAATAATAATAAAGATATAGTAGCAAATAGAATATCAACTAAAATTAGGGAAATTCCACAAAAATTCCGGATTATTCAAACCTGGATGGCCAAGGTAATGATAATGACTGAACTAACTTCTTTTGGATGCATAAATTAGGCTTATTAATATGGATCCCCACAGCCTCAGCAACAGTTCCAAAAAAGGCTTTGTTCTTACAGATGCAGTTCCTAGGAGACAACACCAGTGAGATACTAACACAGTGCCTTAGAAATGCGGTAAAAAGAGCATTCCCTGCTGCTCAATTACGCTGTATATCTTTAAAACCACTCCTCTTCTGGAATAAAAGACAAACTGCCTAATTTCGCCTTTTCCATGTGTATATACCAATTTAACTGTTCCTGTGGAGTGAGCCAGTTACATAGGCCGTATAATTAGGCGTGTTTCGCGTCGAATTTCCGAACATCACCCTGCATAGTGGTTAAGTAAAGGACAAACAAAATCTATTCGCAGCGCTATTCTGTGTCATCTTGTGGATATAGAACACAAGATTGACGTTAACCATGCATTCAGGGTCATTTACCGCATACCTACGAATCTCAATTTTACCTTAAGAGTTCGACTACTAAATATTGCTGAGGCTGGCTGTTGGGGTCCACACTAAGAAGCCTAATTTGTGCATCCAAAAGAAGTGAGTTCAGACATTATACTTACCCGCTTGGCCATCTAGGTTTGAATGATCCTCAATTTTGTGGAATTTTCCTAATTTTAGTTGATATTCTTTTCGCTATTATATCTTTATTATTATTATTATTTAAGCATCTTTAATGAACTGTGATTCCATCGTGATCTTACTTTACAAATCAACATTATTTAAAAAACGCTAATATTGTTATTAACTACTAATCTAGAATATTTTATGTATATTAACCTACATGCATATTATTGTAGAGCCGGAAGAGGAAATTATCGAAAAGAATATTCTTTGCTCGATTATTTTGTGTTTTATAGGTGTCTGAATGAACATTTTTGCAAAATGCTATATATAATACGTGAAAATATATTGATTCAAAGGGGATATGAACATTGGTATACCTTACTGAATATTTGAAGGAACTCCTATTGAAAAGCACCCTATAAAAAGGTCCAATTCTCTGACAATAATGAAATATATCAACAAAATGATGGTATAGCTATTGGGCTCACTCCACTTGGCCTGTTGCTTGCAGATTTTTTCAGTTTTACAAGAGATACGTTGCCTCAACCACAGGAAGAACGGACGAGGATGTCAAATCGAGAATCGGGAAGGCGAGAAACACATTCATGAACCTGAAACCAATCTGAAAATCTTCGTCACTCCTCAACATCAACAACGAAATTCGGATTTTCTATACAAACGTCAAGTCAGTTGTTGTGTACGGATCAGAAACTTGGCGGGTCACAAAGAATATTTCCAACAGCCTGTTGCAGACCCAACAAATATGCAGGAGAAAGTGGAGATGGATTGTACACTCGTTACGGAGGCCGCTGGGTGACATCGCGCGTCAGGCCATCACTCGAGTGGAACCCGAAAGGGAAGCGGCGAGTGGGACGTCCAAGGGTGACATGGAGGAGATCGTGTGAAGAAGAGTTGAAACAATATGGACTAACATGGATGCAATTGAAAAGTACAGCAGAAGACAGAAGCAAGTGCAGACGTGCAGCTGCAGCTCTATGTTGCACTAGGGAACAATAATAATAATGTGGACGACACTTCCATTCTCTCCAACGATGAGGAGATATCCTGGTTTAGAGAAGGAATCCGATACGAAAATGTCTTTTCTGGACATCGAATTAACATAAAAGATGAACAAGGTGGAATACTAAAAAGATCCATCTACAGAAAACCAACACGGAACGGACAGATGGTCGCCCCTATATACAACAAAACAAAACAAAACCTAATCCATTCACTGAGCTACAGAATCCACAGCATTTTGCACCCTCTGGTATCATGGAAGAAGAGCTTAACACTGTGAAAAGAATCCTCTTAGAAAATGGCTACCCAGAACATTTCATCACAAAATCTATGTGACCTAAACCACTCACACTTTCTGCACGCAAAAAACTTCTTTACCTGAAGCTACAATTCAATGGAGACTCATTGTCAGAAAGAATGAAAAACCGCCTGTCCCACTCACTGAAGAAAACCTTCTTCGCAGCTGAACTTTGAGGTATATAGCTACAACTTACTGATGAGTAGTGCCTAAAAGACTCTCGCTTAATAAAAAAACATAAACAACAACAACGACGAGATTGTCTTAAACTTACTTTTGCCCATGAATAATCCATTGGTACAGTTCTAGGTGAATGATCTGGTTTCGGTATCAATTGACCACTGCGCACAAGATCATCGAATACACGTCTGAGATCACATGAATATGGAAAAAATCGGAGAATAATAAAATTCAATTAAATATTGAATAGTACATTCATGAGATTAGAAAAAAAGAGAGAGATTAGATACCTAAAAATAAAAATTAGAATTGTATTCATTATCATTAGGGATAAAGCATATGAGAACAAAATCCATGACACCTACACACACACACACACACACACACGAAGACACAAGGCAGCACGACAGAACATTACCCGGCTGATTGCCACTTCTATTTCAGACCTAATTCACCTGATGATTTGGAAAGATACTCACATCATCTGACAGGAATATCTACCTCGAGGAAGAAAAGTTTATTAGCAGTTTATTATCTTAACACCATCGGTAAATTTCCAGAGTCCATAATCATTGGTTTGTAGAGATATGGTTGATCGCCGGTTACAGGATTTCATTATGAGCTGGCATTGGTTAGAGAACCATTGGAAAACCATCAGGGAGTACTAGACAGCCAGCTGTTTCGTCCTAATTTGAGACTCTTCATAAGTACCTACCGAAGGATTCGAACCCAGAACCTTATGGTTACGAGGCCAGCGAGTTCGTAGACCAATGAGCCACTGGGACTCCATCCAATGGCCAGTCCATGAATTCTAACTTCTGCTAATTCACGACATAGCGCGACCACTAGCCAATGTCGTCCGTGGCGAGTATTCGGTTTCAAATTCTGCTTCAGAACTACAGTCTTTCCCTCTACACTAAAACAAAATCAGCTTACTCAAACTAAAGGAAATAGTATAATGATGGTATACAACACTGATTAAATGGAGTATATGCAACAAGCTATTAATATCACAAGCAGTACTCTCTGCTTGTTTAACCAAAGCAAAAGGTTATCTCTAAACAAGAGTTGGACAGCTTTCTTCAACGTTTGTGGCGAAGATCAATATGAACACAAGTTTATAATGAATTTGGGAAAGATTTAAAAAAAATAGAAAGTGAATGCATCTGCGCCAATTTGTTTCAGAGCAATGCATCATATTTACATGGATCAAATTAAAATTTCTTCAAAAGAATGGTTACTTAACAAAGAATGTGCCTTTTCGCATTAGTGTTACTATTAACAACATTAATGTTTTCTAAATAACATCGATTCAATAATAATAATATCAGTGGATTATAGTTCGATACCATCAACATAACAACACACTGAATGAATATCAGTTAAATTAGGAACAATAATAAAACAAATTCATGAATTTATAATCTCCACTGAAGGCCAAGGCAGAATTATTGGCTGGACTTGCTTCTTCTGCACACACACATACACACACAAGGAACAGCTGTTTCAGGTGAATTGCTATTTCCAACATTCGGTGCTTCGATGTCTTTGGCAATATGTTTGGTACCCGGTAGATGAGAGTAAAGGATTCCTCAAGGCCTAGTCTTTATCATCAGCGAATATCACTCTATAACAACACTGTGTGAGACTTCATCAAAATTAAGTTTACCCATAATGGAATTATACTCTACCACACAGTGCTGCACAAGTTCTATTCTTGTATGTTATTAGTTAAATGGTCATACAGTATAAATCCTTGCAAATGTTAGACAGTTAATCACACTTTCAGTTATGAATGTGTGATGTAGACGAACCTTGGAATGGTTCTATCCTCTAGTCTCTCTTCGTTAACCCATAGCAATTTTCTCGATTTCTAAGAAAATGTTCCGTCTAAGATGCGGTGTCATTCAATATTTCGCTCTCTGTACTTTTATACGTTGTTAACTGTTGCATCTTACCCGGCTGTTTTTCTTTTGCTCACCATTAGTCCTTCCTGAGGTACTCAAAAGCATCTATGTCATATGGTAATAATGGGGTTGTCAGTGGGGTAAGTTGTGTGCCACATAGTCAGCTCCTTACTACTATCATAGTCGTCAAGAGACTGCACTGAACTCATGTGAGAAATATTTTTAAATCCATATCGTCTGACCTTCAAAACCTTCTGTATTTGATAAGATAGAATTCAATATTGTAAAAATAAAAAATATAGAAATTATTAACTTTGGTTTTAGAATGACAAGTGGGTCAAGTGGAAAAGATTCAGAGTGAGAATAGTTATAATAATTATAATAATCGTAGTAATAAGGTAAAAGTACATAGAATAACTAAATAAACAAAATAAATAAATGTCTATCCCTCTACGGCTAAGGCAGAAGTAGCGATTGTACATACTTCTTTCGTACACAAAGGTCTGGCTTAAAGTCATGAATTGCCAGGGCCTCAGCTGTCTTTAGACGTCTGTAACGAAGAAAACGCGGGAAGTTAGCATGGATTCTACATATTACCTTGAAATCATGGTTAGGGTTGTCAGAGTGACAGAAGTCGATCAAGTGTTCCAGAATAGAGCTTCGCACACACTTCCTTTCTACCTTGTAAATCCATGCTGGGGTATGTTCTTTCACACAGATACCAGACTCTGTCAACCCTGACAATGATTTTACGAGCATATATAGAATCCATGCTAACTTCCCGCGTTTTCTTCGTTACAGACGTCTAAAGACAGTGGAGGCCTTGGCAATTCATGACTTTAAGCCAGAACTTTGTGCACAAAAGAAGTATGTACAATCCCTACTTCTGCCTTGGCCGTAGAGGGATAGACGTTTATTCATTTTCATTTATTTAGTTATTCTATGTACTTTTCCCTTATTACTACGATTATTATTATTATCTTTATTATTAGTACTATTTTCACTCTGAATCCTTTCCACTTGACCCAATTGACATTCTAAACCCAAAATTATTAATTCTTATATTTTTATTTTTAACAATATTTAATTCTATCTCATCAAATTTCACACCATGTTATGTAACATTTTATATTCACCTTCTGTATTCACAAGTCTTCCCTTCCTTGTATCTCATCTGGTACAACTAGAAGTTAGCGATAGCATATTTGGCCTGCCCTCCCACGTTCTATATGGTAGAGACACTCATTGTTATGCGTGAAACTTATGAAAACTTACTGTTGTTATTATTATCTAAATAAATAGCTCTTTGAACTTCTTCTATTTGTAATTTATGGTGATACTATTTTAATTATCTTAATAGTTTAGTTATTGGCATTATTATTATTATTTTTATTATCACCATCACTTCACTTTTTTTCTGCATTTTTGGACTTTATGGTTACTGTTAATAGCGAAAACCTGCTATTATTAATTCTCTTCACTTATACTCTCTGTTATGTTACTTTTGTTTTTGCTGTGTTGTGTTGTTGAGTAAATTAGAGATGCAATATTGTCTGTAAGTATAGTATGTGCTCTGCACAGTCTAAGTGCAAAGTACTGGTACAAGATTGGCAGGAGCCTGTACCTACACTCACTCTTGCGGGTGAACCGCTTAAAGTTGTTGATAAGTTTGTGTATCCGGAGTTGTCGTGTTAGTGTTGGCGGAGGAGTGACGGATGAGATTTCCAACCGTATAATGAAGGCTTGGGTGGCATACATCAAATTTAACCACCTCTGGCGCCGTCGCGACGTTAGCCTGGCTGTCAAGGGTCAGGTATACAATGCTTCGGTGCGGGTTGTCTTGCTCTACGCCTGTGAAACCTGGTCTCTCCAAGCTGAGGATGTGCGGCGGCTCTGCGTGTTCGATCATCGTTGTCTCCGCAGGATTGCTTGCGTTCGATGGCATCATCGCGTGAGCTATTCTGAGGTTCGGCTGCGTGTGTTTGAACACAGTGGAGATCACCATTCATTGAGTGTTGTCATCCGGAAACACCGACTCCGGGGGCTTGGACATGTGCTGCGAATGTCATCCCAGAAGCTTCCGTACAGGTCTCTGTTCGCTAGTCCTGGGACGGGATGGAAAAGGCGGATGGGTGGTCAGTCCATGATGTGACTTCGTGGGATGAAGGATTTTTGTGCTAGATTAACATCGGTTGGGTTCCGTGAGATAGCTCGAAAAGTTATCGTATATGGCCAAGAATCGTAATCAATGGCGAACGTGTTGCAATTTCCTTCTTTCTTCCCATCCTGATGATAGTTAACGAATACTGTTTGAACTTGTTAAACATGACTATTTTCCTTCAAGATGAAGTTCTTTATCCGTTTCCTACTTATATTTTACTTTTAATCAATGTTGTTTTATTTTTCTTGTGTGGCTCATCTTTCTTGGTGCCATATTGTACCAAGATTTTTCTTCTGCGTTTAAATAAATAAATAAACTACATCCTGAGAATTCCATATTGTACTTCGACTGGACACTAGTCAGTAACTAGTGTAATGTGTCTAGTTCTTTCTTTAGTGCAGACTGAATTCTATCAGTAAGGTTTGCAATGTGGTCACCATGCCACACTAGGTGGCTCACCATCACGGTGCACATTGATTTGATGATATTCAAATGTTTGGAGGCAATTGCGAAGAGGAAGCCCTACTTCACCTAGGTTTCACGCTAGTTGGCACTCACCAATCATTCAGCAAGGTGTATCTGCAATTACCTTGAAGGAACTCATGTCCCCTGTCTGAGATTCGAACCCGCGTCACCCAGTGCTGTAGTCAGAGTGCTAGACAGATTACACTAGTCAGTGACTAGTGTCCAATTGAAGTAAAATATGGAATTCTCGGGATGTAGTACAATATTGCATCTCTAATTTACTCAACAACACAACACAGCAAAAACAAAAATAAAATATAACAGAGAGTATAAGTGAACAGTATTAATAATAGCAGGTTTTCGCTATTATCAGTAACTATAAAGTCAAAAATGCACAAAAAATGTAAAATGATGGTAATAATAATAATAACTAAACTATTAAGAAAATTAAAATAGTATCACCATAAATTACAAATAGAAGAAGTTCAAAGAGCTATTTATTTAGATAATAATAACAACAGTAAGTTTTCATAAGTTTCACGCATAACAGTGAGTGTCTCTACCATATAGAACGTGGGAGGGCAGGCCAAATATGCTATCGCTAACTTCTAGTTGTACCAGATGAGATACAAGGAAGAAATGACTTGTGAATACA